AAGAAAGAAAGAAAGAAAGAAAGAAAGAAAGAAAGAAAGAAAGAAAGGAAAGAAAGAAATCAACTTGTTTACTGCCTCTCTCCCCATCTCTAATGAAAGCTCTGTGAGAGTGGGTTCTTTGTTCTACTTCCTCAGTGCCTAAAACAGTGCCTGGCACATTACAAGTTGCTCAATAAACACTGTTGAATGAACAAATGAACCACAGTGTCTATACTTAGCACTGACCCTCATAAGAATTACATGAAGTGCCATGGGAACACATGAGGGAGCACACCTCATCAGCAGGATAGGGTCTGAGGCAGCCTGGAGGCAAATTCAAGGTATTAACTACATCCCTGCCTTTGAGTTCAAAGAATATCAAATGTTTTTTACTTTAAATTGATCTACACAGGGTCATATGAAAAGGTTTACTCACCTGCCCTTGACCACGGAGCCTGACATCTTACCCCTTGCACCCTAATATTCACTCACGGGGTCAGAAGTGCTTATTCCTACAAAAGAACAAATCTGAGCCTCTCTATTTCCCCTCCCCACATATGCTCCTTTCTTGTCATCTTTTCTATTCTTTCATGTGGCAATGACCCTGTGAGGTAGGGATTATGACACCCCCAAACAACCACTCCATTTCATAGATAAGGAAACCTCAGTTCAGAGAGGCTAAGTGACTTATCCAAGACCACAGAGCTAATAAGTACCTGAGCTTGGATTTAAACTCAGGTAGGATGGATGGTATTATGGGTTGACTTGTGTCTCCTCCAAATAAGGTATGTTGAAAGGCTGCCCCCCTGGTACCTATAATCCAATATGATGGATGTCCTTATAAAAAGAATGGCATGTGAAGAGACAGAGGGAGAACTCCGTGTGATCATGCAGGATTGGAGGGATGTGTCTATAAGCCATGGAAAACCAAAGACTGCAGGCGAGGCACCAGAAGCTAGGACCAGGCAAGGAAGGATTCACCGACAGGTTTCAGAGGAAGTGTGATTTCAGACTTCTTGCTTCCAGAACTATGAGACAGACAATAACTTTCTCTTGTTCGAAGCCACCCGGTTTGTGGTTCTTTGCTACAGCCACTAACTAACTAGGCAACTGATGCAGTCTCTCCTCTGTGCCATACCATCTTAGATATTTAGGGCAGGATTGACTTATAAGGAATGAGCAGGGAAAGAATGCATACTTAAAGAGTCTAGAGACTTCATTTCAGCTGAAATCCCAAAAACAGAACCAGAAAGCACCTGATGATTTATTCACATTATGATGTCCACAAATGTGAAGAAGTAGGTCCTCCAGTTGACCGAGTCCAAGTT